TATCTGGGCTTCATAATGTGTTCCACGTGCCTCAACTTAAGAAGCAGCAACCAGATCCTTCTTATATAATTGAGCCTGAAGAAGTAGAATTATGAGAAAATATGACCTATAGGACAGAACCGGAACGAATAGTGGATGTTAAAGATAAGCAATTAAGAAATAAGACTATTCAACTGGTGAAAATATTTTGAAAGGGTATGACTCCTGGTGATGTGACCTGGGAGACAGAAGCTAAGATGAGATAGCCATACCCTCAGTTATTCCCTTAGGTAAGTGTGAGTTAATGGTTGTTTCAATTTTAGGGACAAAATTTTTAAAAAGGAGGGGAGAACTATAATATCCCAAATTTCTAATCCTATGTTAATGACTGATTAGGGATGAGTTAGTGATTTAATATAGGGATTAGAGTTTTGAGTAGTAGAGTGATATATTAACTCATTAGGATGTTATATGAACAGATATGAGTACAAGAGCAGGGTCCTAAAGCAGAGCGGGTAAGCAAAGTGAGGATTTTTCTCACTGTACCACGTACTGCGGTAGGTGGCAGATGTGCCACGACACATGGAGCATAAATCAGTTTAATAGGGATGTGTCCAGCTCAAAAAATAGAAGGGAGAAACGTGAGATGAGAGGTTTGGAGTGGAGAAGAGCCAAGGCTGTGCTCAGGTAAGCTAAATCAGGAGCAAGGACGATGTTTTTGACTCGTTACTTATTGGGTAAGTCATGTATTGCCTTAACCTCCAAATCTACCCTATTTTCTCTTAGTTTTAATCAATGAAAAAGTGAATTCAGGAGTTTTAAGGAGTTGATTTCTTACCCAATTGTAATGAAAAGATTATCAGGAGTTAGACTAGTGCTTTGTAACTGGTTTAAGTTGAAACGATAAAGTTTTAAAGCTTTAGGTAAGAATTGCCCTAATCTAGAGAGAGAGTAGTGGAGAACAATTGCTAGAAAATGCTCAATCTTGAAACGAGGGATGATTAGTGGTAATGTGCATAATTAAGTGTGAAATGTGGATTTGATAGCAATTAAGTGTTTAATTGCGATAATTGGCACTTTTAGTCACTAGAGGAATTGACTCTAAATGCCAATTCTATGTAGATTCTATTGTGTGACACACGAATTATGAGAGAGGAGCTTGAATAGGGTTGAAGTTACACGGGTAACCCTTTCTCACGAACAGAAGGGTTAAGGTAACTATATAGTTTATTATATTTATTAACTATTATAACTATGTAAAAGTAAATGTTAAATGTCAAATTGTGAATTTATGAGTTTTAGCATGAACTTTACATTGTGAAATGAATTTGAAAAGTTATTGATTTTCATGAATATATATATATATTGTGCAAAGATGTATAAGTAGTGGAAGTTGTGAAAGAGCATGATCATAAGGGTGGGAGTTCACCCAGGATATGTGGGGTTGTGTGTGTGTGGAGATTTGTGAGTGAAAAATCATTATGGTTGGACTGTCACCATAGGACATCCGGTGTAACATTTTATGGGTTGTTACCATGGGTAATCTAATACAGCATCTTGTGGGACTATTACTATGGGACATCTGGGTAGTCTAGCAACTCCCTAGTACCCGTTAAGGTGCAGTTACGAGTCAACGATACCTCTATCACAAGTGTGTGAAGAGGGAAAACCATAGTCTGTAGGTAGGTTAGATTACCTTTGGCTGGGTGTTTCTACCATTAAAAGTGAGCTCGGGTCAATAAGTGTTTCTACCCCGCAATAATACATTATGCTCTCTAACTATTTGTTGGATATCGATTATCATATCCCTCAATTCTTTTAACAAGCCATCTCTTCTATCAGCTTGTTGAGGCATGTAACATCCTAAGTTCCCTTATTAGTAATTATCAGTATTTTCAAGGGGTAATTTGGTCAATTTAGATAAATTATTATTTAGCAAGGTTTATGGAGACTAATATGATTTTTGAATCCTTGGAAAACCTTAGAAGAGGGCTAGGTTAAGGTTCAAGTAGGCCATGGCATGGAAGGAAGTTTTAAATTTTGTAAGGCTTTCTGTGCCATGCACCGCAGCGGGCGAGTCAGTGTGTCGCAGCGCACGGGAAAAATCAGCACTTATCAGGTCGCAAAAACAGACCGAAAACAGAAAAGAGAAGAAGGAAAAAATGAGAGAGCAATGGAGGATAGCTTTTGGTCTACTAGGGCATGATCTCTAAGCTACTTTGAGGGTTTTAGAGCTTGAATCACCATTGGGTAAGTTGTACATTCCCTCTTCTCCCTCTTTTATGCCAAAATCTGAACATTTGGGGTAATGAGAGCTTTGATTTTGGTTCCCTTAGGTTTAGACCGAACCTATTGGTTTATTTAAGATCTTGAGGAGTTAAATCAAGCTTCTAACCTTAAGTTTATGAGTTTTATGGTGATTGAGAATTTTTGGTGAGGGTTTGGATGAACCCTAAGTATAATTTGAGGATTTTGAGACAATGTGGCACATTGATTAATGAAGTTGGTATGTTGGAATGTTTAATAGGATAGTTAGAGTGTGTGGGAATGGTTGGTATTGTTAGAAAAGGAATTTGAGTATCTTAAGCACTTAGAACCTAGTGAATTCAGAGTTATCCGGAGTGATAATTGACGATTGTCACTTATTGTGTAGATTGAGTGTTACTCATGCTATATCGTGCATATAGAACATGTGAAGCTAACATTGAACCACAGTAACCCTTTTTGTATGACAAAGGGTTGAGGTAACCATATAGTTTATTATGTTTATTAACTATTTTAACTATATAAAAGTAATTTTAAATGATAAAGTTGTGGTTTTGAAGAGTTTTGTGCATAATGTGACATTGTAAATGATTTTATTATGAAAAATTGATTTGTAAAAGGTTATCGATTTTAGTTGATATATATATATATATATATTATGTATATAAGATTGTGATATAGGACATGTGAGTGAAAAATCCATTTAGTTGGGCTGACACCATGGGACATCCGGTGCAGCAATATATAGGACTGTTACCATGGGACATCCAGGTAGTCTAACAACTCCCTAGTACCTGTTAGCATGCGGTTAGGAGTCAACGATGTCTTTATCATAATGTGTGAAGAGGAAAAAACCCAAGTCTATAGGCGAGTTAGATTACCTTTGGCCGGGTATTTCTACCATCGAAAGTGTACTTAGGTCAACAAGTAGTTGAACCAGGAGGGCCTGTGGTTTTATGTTAGGGAGCATTGGAGGTTTGGTGGTTAGATGATCAGGCTAGTGTAAAACTATGTGTTTTGTTGAGAAGAATTACATTTATCTCATAATTATGATATGCATGTTATTACTACGATTTTGATACTTTTTCATGGTTATTTGTGGTAATAAACATTTGATGAGCTATATTTTACAAGCGAGGGCTCCGGTAGGGGCAAGGGCAAGGAAGGAGCATCTAAAGAGTGAAGAGCATTATAGTATAGCTCTTTCCTTTCTCCTTTTTAGTTTTATAACGAATATTGTCACTAAATATTGCCAACTTAGGAACATGTCATTATTTGGACATTACTAACGTGAATCTTATGATAAGTGTGTATATCTTGGTCTAAGTTTGATGTATTGGATTAAGCATGTGCTTGGCCATGTTATATTTACAAGTGATATATATATATATATATTTCAAGTGTTTTGAGTATCAAAATGACTAATTGATTGGTGTGTTAAATTTTGTCCACCCCATTATGTTATTGTGCAATGGGGGTTTGGTGGTCATTTTGAGTGTGATTGCTTAATTATGTGATATGAATGGATTGTTATATGGTGTGTGGTCCATTTGAGGTGGTCAAGGTGTCTCTAGGGCTAATGGCATTATATATTGTGAGTTAGACACGATAGTATGTGTTTTGTTATGAAAACAAACCATTTTGGGTTTAGGTGTGCATCTTTTAAACGAATGATTGTTTGAGTATGAGTCTATTGCCATTAGCTAGAGAGCTCAAAGAGCTTCGTGTGGACACTTGAATTCATCAAATTAGATGTTAGATGGTGAAACAATGCGCTCTGGAATTTTGAAGAAAAGTCATGACAGCAGGTGTACACCACGGCACAAGAAACCTGTAAGGGATTCATCCCTTTGTGCCATCCGTCGCTGCAAGCACGACTTGCACCGTGGCAGATAGGCCATATAAGGGCAAAATGACTTGTTTTAGTCTATTTTGAAGTGAATTAATTTCCATGCTCCCGTAATTGCTTTTAATCAATTTTTAACCATAAATTGAGCTCAAACTATATTTTAAAAAGGGTTTTCTTAGGATCCTAATGTTTTAACTAATTATTTTCAAACCCTTGAGTTGTAGTAGCTTTAGTAAGGGGTTTTATTAAATCCTAATTATCACAACAATGTGTGAGTGTTGTCCTTGTAATGTCAAGGCAGACGTTATAATTTGGTATCAGTTTCAAGTGTTTTGAGATTGGTATGTGTGTTGTTGTGTTAGATGGTTTTGCCTGTTGCATTCATGTCTAGAAGTTGGCATATATATATTCGTTACAGTTACCTTCCCTTGCACAATTCTTTCATTTAGCGCTTACTTTTCATGTGGTTACTTCCATCTTTAGGAGGAGAGAGAGGATGGCAGGAAGAAGAACTACCAGAACAGCTACGGGTGGTAACCTATCTAATATGGATGTGGTACCAGAGACTAATGAGCTACCTCCAGAGAATCATATTTTGGTTGGTTAGAACTTAGAACAATTGAGGGATAAGCTACAGGGTAATGAGGCCTTGCTATTAGAGATGAGAAATTTGATGTAAGAGATACGTAATTCGGTGCGGGGATAAGGTGCACCGAGGAATGATAGGGCAAGAGGAGACAGTAGAACAATTAAGAATGAAGAAGAGATGTATGAGCAAGAAGATGAAGTTTATAAAGAGAGCACACCTAAGCAATCTAGAGTTATGGGTGGCAGTGGTTCATAGAATTCTATGGATCGAGCATGAAAGAGTTTTTCACAGTTTCATCCACCTACCTTTAATGGAACAATGAAGAAAGGCAAAGCTAAAAAGTGGATTGAAAGAATTGAAACAATATTTAAAGTGGTGCCATGCTCAGAGGAGCAAAAGGTGACTTTGGCCTCAATATTGCTTGTAAAAGAGGCTAAACATTGGTGGAAGTCGGTGAGACCAATAAGTAGAGTCAATTGGACATGGGATGAGTTCAAAGTGAGGTTTTTCAACTTTTACTTCCCAGTGGCCTTTAGAGCAGAAAAAGAGGTTGAGTTTTATGAATTTAAGCAAGGGAATCTTAATGAAGAAGCTTTCATCACCAAGTTCATTCAATTGTCGAAGTACTCTACCTACCTTGTAAGGAATAATGACTCAAAATGGAAGGCTGAGAGGCTACTTGAGAAGATGAGACCTGAGTACTAACAACAGTTGGCCTTATTTGAGATCACATCTTATGATAAGATGTGTAATAAGTTGAGAATAGCTGCGAGAAGGGGCAAAGAGGCAAAGACTGAGAAAAGAAGGGATAGTCAAGGCAAATTCTCATAGTCGCTTAGCCCTACTAGTGGATTTAGCAAGAGATTTAGTTTTAGCTCTGGTAGTTCTGGGAGCTTTGGGAAGAAGAAGACCTTTCAAATGGGATCATAGTCTCGAGGTTCCTTCCAGAGGAGTAATGGACCAAGGAATAGTGCCAGTGGTGTACAGCCATCTCAGCAGGCTTCCACAATGCCTGTGCCTACTCTTAGTACAACCAAAACCCCTCAGTGCTCGAAGTGTGGGAGATATCATGTAGGAAAGTGTTGGGTTTGCTTCATGTATGGAAAGTCGGGGCATATAGCCAAATATTGTGAAGAGGGCAGAGTAGGTACCATAGAGCAGAGATCGACTATTCCTAGGAGAGTACTTGCATTGTCCCAGGAGGAGGTAGGTGTATCTCTAAATTTGATTAGATGTAAAATTTCTCTACATAACTGTGATATAGACGCTTTGTTTGATTCGGATGCTACCCATTCTTGCATTTCTAATGATTGTATATTGAGGTTGAAATTATTTGTACATACCTTGCCATATGTGATTAATGTGTCTACGCCGGTGGGAATTTCTATAAGAACCAATCGTGCTTGTCTGGGTGTTGATTTGAGATTTAAAAATAGATCAACTACTATCAACTTGATCTGTCTGCCCATGATTGGGATTGATGTAGTAGTGGGTATGGACTGGTTGTCGGCAAATAATGCGATGCTAGATTGTGCAAGAAAGATAATATCCTTGTCAATATACATTGCACCTATAGTGAAACATAGTCCATCATGATTTTTGTTTGTAATGTAAGCAAAAAAGTACATTCAACTGGGTTGTCAGGCATATATAGTGGTTTTTCCGTTCATGCCACTTGTGATGGAGGAATTGAGAGAATTAGAGTAGTGAATGAATTTCCTGAATTATTTTCAGAAGAAGTGTCTGGATTACCTCCTGAGCAAGAGGTGGAATTTTCTATTAACCTTGTACCTAGAACAGAACCCATATTGAAAGCTCCTTATCGGATGTCTTCATTAGGGTTAGCAGAGCTAAAGAAACAATTGAAGGAATTACTAAAAAAAGGGTTTATAAGATCGAGTGTGTCCCCGTGGGGATCACTGGTGTTATTTGTAAAGAAAAAGGATGGTAGTATGAGGCTTTACATTGACTACATATAGTTGAACAAAGTGACAGTGAAGAACAAGTATCCTTTGCCCAGGATTAATGATTTGCTAAATCAGTTGGTTGGAGCTACGGTGTTCTCAAAGATTAACCTGAGATTAGGCTACCATCAGTTGCAAGTCAGGGTTGAGGATGTACTAAAGATTGCTTTTCGCACTAGATATAGTCACTACAAGTTTCTAGTGATGCTGTTTGGATTGACGAATGCTCTAGCAGTGTTTATGGATTACATGAATAGAATCTTCCATCCTTATCTAGATAAGTTCATGGTAGTATTCATTGATGACATTCTAATTTACTTAAAGAGATGAGGAAGAGCATGTAAAGCATCTTCGTACTATCCTGATAAGCACCTTTGGCGGGCGAGTCAGTGAGCTGCGACACACGGGCAAAATCAGCAATTATCATATCGTGAAAATAGATTGAAAATAGAAGAGAGAAGAAGGAAAAAATGAGAGAGCAACGGAGGAGAGCTTTTGGTCTACTAGGGCACAATCCTTAGGCTACTTTAAGGGCTTTTGGAGCTTGAATCACTATTAGGTAAGTTGTACATTCCCTCTTCTCCCTCTTTTATGCCAAAATCTGAACATTTAGGGTAATAGGGGCTTTGATTTCGGTTCCCTTGGGTTTAGACCGAACCCTCTAGTTTATTTAAGATCTTGGGGAGTTAAATCAAACTTCTAACCTTAAGTTTATGAGTTTTGTGGTGATTGAGAAGTTTTGGTAAGGGTTTAGATAAACCCTAAGTATAATTTGAGGATTTTGAGATAATGTGGGACATTAATTAGCGAAGTTGGTGTGTTGGAATGTTTAATAGGATGGTTAGAGTGTGTGGGAATGATTGGTATTGTTAGAAAATAAATTTGAGTATTTTAAGCACTTAGAACCTAGAGAATTTGGAGTTATTCGAAGTGATAATTGACTATTATCACTTATTGTGTAGATTGAGTGTTACTTGTTTTATATCGTGCATATAGAAAGTATGAAGCTAACGTTGAGCCACAATAACCCTTTTTATATGACAAAGGGTTGATGTAACGATATAGTTTAGGGAGAATGACAATTAAAGACCTGCTAAGATCATTAATCCCAATTACGGACCGTGAAATTTTGAAATCCCAATGGTCCTTAATTGTGATTAAAAAAATATAATTTATGCGGTGGAATTCATTATTGCCACTTGAGAATTCACTAACCCAACTTGAGAAAATTTGTAATGTATATTGTGAAAGCATGAAACCCCACTTGGAAATGGAATGTTTAACAAAAAGCGCCACTTGAAAATTTACTAACTCGACTTGAAAAAATTTTTAACATATATTATGAAAACATGAAACTTCACTTGAGAAACGATTGTTTAATAAAAAATACCAATTTGGATAAGTCACTTTTTATTAATGATTCTTAAGTGGGGTTTCATTTTTTTCACAACATACGTTAAAAATTTTTTCAAGTCTAGTTAGTGAATTCTCAAGTGGCGCTTTTTATTAAACATTCCATTTCCAAGTGGGGTTTCATGTTTTCACAATATACATTAGTAATTTTCTCAAGTTGGGTTAGTGAATTTCTAAGTCGCGTTAGTGAATCCCACCTCACAAATTATATTTTTTTATCACAATTAAGGACCATGGTCCTTAACTCTGATTTCAAAATTTCACGGTCCGTAATTGGAATTAATGTTCTTAGCAGGTCCTTAATTGTCATTCTCCCTATAGTTTATTGTGTTTATTAACTATTTTAATTGTGTGGAAGTAATTTTAAATGTTAAAGTTGTGGTTTTGAAGAGTTTTGTGCATAATGTGACATTGTAAAGGATTTTAACATGAAAAATTGATTTGTAAAAGGTTATCAATTTAAATTGACATATAATTATATATATATACTATGTATATAAGATTGTGATATGGGAATGTGACGAAAAGTGATGGAATTTGTGAAAGAACATGATCATAGGGGATGGGAGTTCACCCAAGATATGTAGGAATATGTGTGTGGAGACATGTGAGTGAAAAATCCATCCGGTTGGGCTGACAACATAGGACATCTGATGCAGCATTATATGGGATTGTTACCATGGGACATCCGAGCAGTCTGGTAACTCCCTAGTACCCTTTATGGTGCGGTTAGGAGTCAACGACGCCTCTATTACAAGTGTGTGAAGAGGAAAAAACTATAGTCCGTAGGCAGGTTAGATTACCTTTGGCCGGATATTTCTACCATCAAAAGTGTGCTCGGGTCAACAAGTGGTTGAACTAGGAGAGCCTATAGTTTTATGTCAGGGAGCATTAGAAGTTCGATGGTTACATGATCATGCTAGTGTAAAACTATGTGTTTTATTGAGAAGAAATACATTTATCTCATAATTATGGTATGCTTGTTATTATTATGATTTTGATACTTTTTTATGGTTATTTGTGGTAATAAAACATTTAATGAGCTATATTTTACAGGCGAGGGCTCCAATAGGGGCAAGGGGAAGGAAGGAGCATCTGAAGAGTGAAGAGTGTTGTAGTATAGCTTTTCCCTTTCTCCTTTTTGGTTTTGTAATGAATATTGTCACTAAATATTGCCAACTTAGGAACATGACATTATCTGGATATTACTTGCATGAATCTTGTGATAAGTGTGTATATCTTGGTCCAAGTTTGATGTATTCGATTAAGCACGTGCTTGGCCATGTTATATTTACACGTGATATATATATATTTCAAGTGTTTTGAGTATCAAAATGATAACTGGACACCTAGACACTCGGGTGCTACAAATAGCTCGAGTACCTCTTCTTCTTATTTTCTCCCATCCTAAGGATGAAAGTAGCAGAAAAGTTAAGGAAAAGGGAAAGATGGTGTAATAAATAATATATAAGCTGCTAGAAACAAGAATGAATGCAGAAACAAAGCAAAATCGAATTGAGAGACCGGAGAAACTAATACCAATAATTTGTAATGCCCTCACTTACCATATGTTCCATTACAAAAATCACTCATTACTTCTAATTTGAGTTAAAATTGTTGAAAACATTGGGATCCTAAAAAAAGATTTCTAGAAAATATTTTATAATCATTTGAGTTATTTAACCTCATACACAATTACATACATAGCGAAAGCATACAGATTGGTTACATGAAAAGTCAAGAAAACATGTGCATCACTTAAAATAAAGTGAAAAATTATATTGTGCACTGTAGCTTGTGCCACATGCACCGTGGCATATGGCACAGAGGCCACAATCACCTATTCTATGTCATGCGTCGTGACATGTGAATACATACGCCGCGGTGCACACACCTAAGTTTGCTGTCAAATGGCAGTTTCTAATACAAAATTCATATGCACGCCATTTCCACATAAGGAGTTTGATTATGATGGTTTAAGCGCCCACACGAAGCTTATTTTAAAATCTAACTAATGACACTGGTTTCATCTCAATCCGATATTTTTATCAAAAATTAGACACTGGAGTGCACTTTGACCATTTATTGTCAAAGTTTTGCCACTTAAGTCTCTCAGTTTGAAACCAATTGTCATTAGCTACTTTTTGGAGCTTGACCAAATCCAAATGGACAAAATTCACCTAATTGACCATACACATTGCACAATATAACACACGTACACAAATTTGGCCTATAATCTGCCCATGTCACACTTTGGGCCAAAACTACATTTTTACTTTTCTTGTCTTATATATGACCAAATCACTCCATTTAATCTCCACCCACTTC